ACTGCCTTAGAGAGGACTCTGTATTCTGTTCAGCTACTAGACCAGTCTCCTTAATCATTTTGTCATTTTCACACGTGCTAGAGGGAGGGAGGGAGTTGGGGAGTAACGTGGACACAGACTGGGAGGCGTGCAGAATCAGTTGAGGCTGTCAGAGAATGTTTGTTAGTCACTAACTACTATTACTCCTCTGCATCTCCATCTCACCCCGATACGGTCTACAATTCTGCATTCTACATCTCGGTAACGACACAGATATCACCCGAGATATCTCGAGAACCAGCAGCGGGATAGCGAGCACCGCCAGCTTACGAAGATAGGCTCCTCTAACTTCAGACTATACAGTACAAGGGAGAGGATGAGGCGAGGGAGGAATCACTCGTTTTCTTACTCCGCATCCAATCTCTGCCAGTAGTGTTCAAGGAACGAAAGTATCAAATATGATGTAGTTCTTCATTTCTTATCCAGTTACAACCTGGGTCTGCTATCCTAATTGCCTATCCTATCCTATCCAGCAAAGCAAAACAAAACAAAGCATCATTAATCGCTAGGGTATGGTTCGCCGAGCTATGCAATTTCAAGCAAAGTAACGCTGGAGCTGTTCTGTGTAACACGCTCGGGGGTATGGGGCTCGAAAATAGAAAACGAAAAAAAAAAGAAAGAGAAAGAGAAAAAGTGAAAAAGAGGCATACATACATGACGGGGTATCTAATCATCCGACGGACGCTTGAAGAAAAAGACGCTTGTGGCCAGATGGTAAAAACACAATAAAAACAACAAATCAGGTAATCCAGCTGATGGTGAGGAAGTAGCGCTTGTTATCCCGAAAATAGTAAACTTGGAACATTAGGTAGAAAAGCCCCATTGGTATAACCGGGAAAACATAATGAGATAGCAAAAGGAAAAGATGATTATGAGGTAAGAGCGAGATACCGCCAACACCGTCGCGACAACGCATAGAAAATGAAACAGTCAAGGTGGTGGTGGTGTGTGGTCAGGTAAATCTTGTAGATAGGGAGATTAGAATAAAATCGAGGAATGCGCGGCACCGATCGTTATCTCGCCTCATCGCATTGTCGTCTGGGACTGAAGTCCGCAAGTCCGAGGAAGAGTATCAAAGCGCATGCCAGTCAGTTCTCAATGAATGAGTCACTTCACTTGATCAAGGCAAGGTAGGTAATGCGATCAGAGCGTGTCCTGACAATGGCGGTGAGATCGTGCGGATTGATAGGCTCAGCCAGCAGAGCAGAGCCCTGTCCGGCGTGCAGGGGGTGGTGTGCGAGCCTTCGGGGGAGTACGGGCGATAAAAGAAGTAACGAAAGGCGAAAGGAGGGGTTGCGGTTGCTTTGATTTTCGAATTCAATCAAATGCGCCGACAGCGAAGGGGAAATTAGATAATCAGGCAGCCAGCGCTCGGGCACCAAATCAGACTGCGTGGTTGGAAACTCCGGGCTCCAGGCTGTCCATTCCGCCCGCCGGCTACGGCGCGTAACCCCAGGCTCGCGCACGTGCGGCTCTCACTGTCGTCATCGTCATCTTCGCCTTGTTCCCGGAGAATGGGAAATCCCCGTTCGAGAATAATCGGATGCAGCGCGCCTTGTGATGCTCACACGCCTGAATTTCTGCCGGAGAATCCAGCCTGACTGGTCGGAAGAAGGGAGAGAAAAGAGCCTGATCAGCTGGCCGAAATCCAGATCCAGAGGAGCAGGCGAAGAAAAAGCAAGTTGAAGAAAAAAGTAATTAAGAGAGTGGGAGTCGAAGCAAAAAAAAGAAAAAGACCCGGATGCGAATCGCTGATCGCATATGATAGAGCCCAATAACTGCGGATAGATCGGCGCTGATCATGCGACAGCCCTAATCTCCGCCAAAACAGACCGTGGGAGGGGGTATCGAGAGTGAAACATGCACAAGAACGCTGAGATATGAGATTGATGTTACAGAGAAGGACCCGGCGGGCACCCTCTTCCGGTCTCTAGACCCGGCAAATAGTTGCCTTGGTCCCAGAGGTAGTGCGTCTTTTCCGCTCGGGAAGGGCCTTGCGTTTCTTGTTGCGTTTGGCGTTCTCGCGCTCGGTGGCTGCCATTTGGGCTACACGCATCGCCTGCTGGGCTCTGGCATGTGCTTGTACTTGGGCCAGGAAACGCGCGCGCTGGGCATCCTCATCAGCTGCAGCGCGGAGCATCTGAATCTGCTGCTCGGTCGTCAGATCCATGGCGGGATCCTGTGCAGCGGACTCCTCATCGATGGCGCTGTCGGAAAGCACATCGGAACCACTGGGGAAGAGATCCTCATCTGACAGGTAGGCACTGGCGGTCGAACCTTCGGAATCGGCACTGAGTAGCGATGGTCGGTTTGGCCAGGAGGGGAAAGCACACGAGTTGTTCAGTCCATAGCTGCTGGAGAATGAGCACTTGCGGGGAGTAATGTCGAGCAGAGAGTCGCTGGGAGACGGAGGCGGTGGAGGCGGCAACGAGCTAGGCGAGCAGGAGCTGCTGTAGCTGAAGCTAAAGGAAACTGTCTGGGTGCTGGTCGTGGCCTCACTCAAGGAGGAGCGCACACTCGACTGGTTTTGACTCCAAGGAAGTAGGGGATACATGGCTGTGAGTTGAGTTCTGATCTGCGAATGGAGGATCGGATAGTTCAGGTGATGATCTCGGTCGCAGAAAAATATTCAGAGCGTGTTGTTGTTTGTGTTTGTTTGTTGGTTGTTGTGTTGATAGAGTGGAGAGTGGAGAGTGTCGAAGAGGAAGGAGGGAGATGAGAGGAGTAGATATAGAATGTGTGGAGAATGAGAAGATGATCGACCTTGTGGAGGAGGAGCTGGGGAAGTAAATAAAGCTTGGAGGGAGGGGAGGATCAACGATCACCTCCGTCAGGTTGGGAGCAAATGGCGGAGAGTAGAGTTAGTGGTGAAGGTGTATGTGGATGTGTATGTGGATGAGCAAAAGAAGCCAAAGTACTTGTATAAGAAGAAAGAAGCAGGGCCAGATCGATCGGGGGTAAGAGGCGGCTTTGGGTCTGGACTCCCTTGCATCTCCCAACAGATAAGGCGGGGAGGGAGGGGGGTTGGCAGCGATGGATCGTTTTCTTTTTCTTTTTTTTTTATTCCTTTGATTTTAATTTGTTTTATTGTCTTTTAATTTTTAGATTAAAAGAAAAATAAAATAAAATAAAATCAGAAAGGGAAAATCAGAAAAAGAAGGGGGGGGGTCAAAAAGAAATGACCGAAAGAAGAAATATTCAGGAAAAAAGGGCCCCACGGGATCAATTCGCACCAAACAAATGCGTCCAGCGATCAGTTTGGAATTTTCCGCCAGCTGCAAGTCAAGCGCGGCGATCAGGCGGAGGTCGACAGGGAGGAGGAGAAGTAGCAGGAGGAGAAGAACTTGTCCTAGAAGTAGTCCCAGAAGTAGTCCCGGAAGTACCAAAGTCACGATTTTCACGCGTCGTGTTGTTGATGTTGACGTTAACGTTGATGTTGATGTTGATCAAGTCTCCAAACAGACGGATCCTGATGTAGTAACGGGTCGGGCAGTAGACATCGATTTCCCTCTTGGGAAGAGCAACAGAAGTACATTGGATAAATAATAATGAACAAGGTGAAAGGGTGTGTCTTCGCGATGAATCGTTTGCAGGTGGACTCGATCAATCTGACAGCCGACCCTGGTCAATTGAGGCGTGGGATCTATCACTTTTTCCTTTTCGCATTTCAATTTTCAGACCGTGGGCACTCCCTTTTTCGGGGGACGGATTTAATTATATACTAAAGCTTTTTGTTTTTCTTCCCACGGCCAAAGTTGACGGGCCCGGGGAAGATCGGATCGGATTCCAGGCCGTGGGGGTGGAAATGGAAGAAAGTCAACTGTCAAAGAATCCTGATGAGTCAAAGGTGCACCTTTAAGATTACCGATGGGGCTTTCCGGATTTACTCATGGATCGTGATTTTGCCGTATACCGTAGGTTTTATTTTTTGTTTCTATTATTTTTATTTATTTATTTTATCTTGCTCTTAACCGGTACTTCACTGCTCCGTACATCTTCCCGATCAACACAGTTCCCCCCCTCTCATGGACTTATTTTCTCCGCCACCCCCAAAATAAAGCTGACAGTTCACACAACACGAGTCCAGCGAACAGACAAGAGTACTGACCAACAATGATGATATAGTTAGCACAGCTGACGGCATGGCATGGCACTGCATCGCGATCAGAAACATCGTCAGGTCTTCAGGACTGGCAATCGATAGGCCCCCCCTCTACATTTCAGCCCATGTTTCAGAGCTCAGGGGGGGAGGGGGAAAGAGAACCGAGGGAGTAGTTGATCCATAATTCCTACCCAATGGACCCGTAGTAGGGTTAATGGTGGTCTCACTCCGACCCCATCAGCAGTCCCAATAGCATTCTCTTCATTATCAGCAGCAGCAGCATCAGCATCATCATCACCACATTGACCCCTCGACAACGTAGGTACCTACTTTTCACATCTCGGATCCCGCGATAACCTCAATCAGGGGATCGGATGGCCAAGCTTGGTGGTTTGGTGGTCTGGGTTGTCGTGCATCGCAACGGGATCTTGCGGTCTATTTGTCGGTGTGTGAAGGCTGTCCAGCTGTTCATTCAAGCTCCAAAGCCCTCTCGCTCGCTTTGACTACTTTACTGCAGCTCAAACAGAAAGACGCCTCGCCTCGTCTTGTCGCCGGCACCCTCTCCCCTTTCCCCCTATGCTGTTTGTCGATCAAATTAATAGGCCTCAAGGTTTCACCGCTCCTAATGTTTGACATCCACATTTGGAGGTTGGGTGATGTGCAGCATGGGGGGGATGGGAAGGGGGGATAAGAGACATACATATCCGCCCGCTGTAAGTCAGGATGGGAGTGGAGGTAATGTACTCACATGTATGTACGTATGTACATCCTTTTAGTGATAACGGTGGGGGAAGTGGGTAGAGCGTTTACTTTTGTGGCACCTTGAGGCTTGAGCATCCCAGGAAGTTTCAAACGTGTTTAGGCTGAGGAGAAACAACTGGTGGTTGAGGTATAACAAGAATACACAGCGTGCATGATCCGTCCAGATGATGATGCGATCGAGTCTTTCCCAGAGACCCTTCCATCTGGCGGTCAGTCAGGCAAACATTGGTGGTGGTGGTATTTTTGTCGCTTTGTCGCTTTGTCGCTTTGTCCACAGCAATGACAAACACACACGATTCGAGAATCGAATCAACTCGTGCGCTGATCGCGAGAAACGTGAAAATGAAAAAAAGGAAAAAAGATAAGAAAGATAATCTTCAGCAGAGATGGAAGTCTAGCCCTTGATGGTGGGGATTAAGGAAGAGAGAGACTTGGTCCTCCCCCAATGCGCGGTTTCCGCCCAGCTATTTCCTTAAGCCCTGCTTATGTGGTGTTCCTCCTTACAGTAGTCCGGTCGTCCCCCTGGTTGTATTGTATATCCAACAAACACATAACCATCAGCAGTTGATACGGCAATGAAGGTACCATGGAGTTGTGGTCTCGACCATGGAACCCTGGGGTACACGAACCAGAAAGGCTTTACCCGCTGTCAATGGACATTAGTTTGATGTATTGTCTAGCATCTGGCACGAACCGACGAGGAGCCAGAACAAAGAAAGTTCTGGATACCCGTTCCCCAGTTTAGTGACTGACCCACCATCAGGTCCCATCCATGAATCCATATGATGGCTGCCCAGTTGTGGAGTAATGACTAACATCTACGTACTCAGTAAGTGACTCTTGTGCCTGACTTTGTTTCCCCCTTTTACTTATCACTATAGGAGGTTCGCAGTAAAATGAACAGTGCTCAATTCTTTCACATCGTCATTATGCTTGCTTGCTATTGACAAGTGTCACACTAAACATCAAACCAACATGAGCAGACAACACTCCCCAATCTGTGAGCTTACTATGCCTGCCATGCCGACCAGACCCTGCGCAACGCTCGGCTATCTGCATATAAGCATCACCTGCTTGTCCTCTGCCACCCCCAAACTATGCGGACAGTGCCAGCGGGCCCCCATCCTCCCGTCCAAGGCTGTTTTCCCCGGGGCTGATTGATTCTACTGAGTACGGAGTACTGAGTACCACCAACTTCACATGAGTCTGGGGCCAGAGGCGGAGCCAGACTTACTTCTCCACGGACCACCAACTACCACCCCTCTAGAGTCGACTGGGTCCTCCTCCGTCTCAGCCACGAACAAGTCCTACCTCCTACTACCTACACACTCCGCAGTTTCACACCTCATCAACTAGCCAACCCGCTGCCAACCTTGCGAATGAACAGTTCTGTACAATTTCCGTGCGGAAGACCGGCGCGGAAAAGCGCTTCCAGATGATAATTTTGCCGTGTGACAATGCCGGGGGAGTAGGAATAAATCCCAGCGTGTGGCTAATTACAGATTAGGTAGCCAGGGAAATGTCCTTTTTAGCCCAAGACCCGACCCGACCGAACTAGCTGACCGTTTGGAAAGAAAAAGTTTAGGAATGCGCGGTTAATCATCGTCAACTCGGGAGTTGACTCCTTCCCCTCCCCTCTGGTACGTACGTACAGTACTCCGGTAAGCCTAGACTAAGCCTACGGGAGTGTACCATCGGGGGAAGGGGGCCGGTGGTTGAACTGGACCAGGGGTGGTCAGAGTCAGTCACACACTTTTAGGCGGTTAGACGGGTATTTGGCGGCGGCACCCTGGGGGGTAGTAGTTTGCGGGAGAGACGGACGGCGGAGACGGGTGGGTGGATGTTGGTTTATCCATCCACCGAAACCCTCCTCGCTCCCCTTCTCTTTGTCTATGTGTGCCTCGGTGCTGGGGTTGATTCTTTTGAGACTTTCGGAGAAGGGTGGGAAGTCCTTTGTGTTTCAGGTGATTGTTGTTGGAATTCCAGGGGGTCTGTCTGTCTGGTTCGGTTGCATGGTTCGATTTGCTTTGTCATTCACGTTGTTAATCTGGATGATGCTTTGATGGATGCATCGACCCTGAGAGATTCCATCGAGTTTGACCAGTAGACAGTCAAGTCTTGATATATACATCTATCATTGTCGACTAAGGCGACAAGATCATGGTCGAGTCCAGCAAGGTGTAGCAGAGAAGATCGAATCTAGATTGCTTCGCATATTTACAGTACCCCTGGACAAAAGGACACCCCTCTGACCAGTCGCTTGATCTCTAGGGTTCCCGGCTTCGGATTGCCGGCATGTTGGTGATGGAACACCAAAAAGAAGCAAACCAGGCACCAAAGTACGGGGCTGAACACCAGTCTACAGTACGGAGTACAACAATCTCAAATTCCAGTTCATTGACTGTAGGCACCGTACCTGATTTCTTTGTGATTGATAGATGAAGCGACCGGATGGTTTTCTTTCATTGACAAAGACAGAATGTGCCAGTGGCTGGCCATCACAGTACACTATCCGACGCCATCACCACCATCTCTTTCACGATGAATCTTGTCATGTGAGCCCTCACTGGCAGGAACAGTAAAAGTGGCGCGCCACAGTCCCCCCAAACCTCGGCAAAGACACGCAAAACACCTGACTTCGGTCGATTTGGTTTTAGCTTTTCGTGCTTTGTTTTCATTGAGCCTTGACCGACGGACGGGTAAAGGGATTAAAGCACCCGTGGACGGCTCTAGACTCTCGGGGTTAATTTCCCCGGGAGCATAGATCCCCCAAAATTCCTCCAGTTACATGTCTTGGACTTTTTGGTTGTGGAAAGGACGAGCTTGAGGGGCTCGGATAGCTATCGATCACGAATCGTGTCAACTCTGATCCCGATCAATCAGCCTGTCAATCGACGATTGCGAAAGGGGAAGCAAGAGCCTGGGGCAAAACCGCAGTCAAAGTACGGAGCTGAGTTAGAAAAGCACTTGTCGGCGGAAGCAACTGCTTCAGTTCTGGCACTGCACTTGCACCCTCACCCCCCGCGGATGGGCGGAAACGCCTCCCGGCGATCGAACCGCTGCATCGGATTGCCCCACAAACACACAAAAAAACACACACATCTTTTCCCCCTTTCCGGCTCCCTCTTTTTCCCCCTTCGATCCATTTTACCACGCTCGAGTGCAGGGATCGTCGTCGCGTTCCCGGTTCGGTAATATTATGAGCTCCCCTCGGGGCCCCTCCGCCCTACCTATCCAACCTCTATTTGAGACTTCGCGTTTGAGACTGATCAACGTTTGACGGGGGAAGAAAAAAGTACTCGCCATAGGGACTGGTACGACGGGTAGACCCGCGGAACAGCGGCTACAGTTTCCCGTCCCCAGGAGTCCGGGGAGCAACGCAGATGCGTGACTTGTTTCTAAAGGGGTTCCCCTTCCGTCCTTTGTCTACTGTGTGATCACCGTCATCATGAGTTCGTGGATGGGGGTTACGTCAAGGGAGTGAACGGGGGGGAAGAGGGAAGAGAGGGATGCGACGTCTGTGGCTTGCAGGAGGGGAGATCTAGCTTGAATCAGGTGTCATGCGGTCGACAGATCGATCCTCAATAAAGGATGAGAGAGCACGGAGTACTATGACTGTGACATTCTACTCCATACCTATGATGAGGTATATGGCTGATTCCAATCATGTTTGATGACGACTTCCGCTGTCCATTCCACTGGGGGATGCACATTCCAACCCCGATGGATTACGGAGTACTGCCTCCTACTTCCTCCGCCCAGTGTAGGTACGTATTTAGTGCACATGAACTGCACGCCCACCGCCCACCGCCTATGTATGCATGCATGTACTGTACCGTATCCATTTTATGTGCATGTACAGTAAGCACACACAGGTATGCTGCCTACCCTCTAGGTACAGTACTTCATCTGTCGATCAGTGTGTATGCTCACTCAATGAAGTACGTGCGAGGGATCAAAGTACTCCAGGCTCCAGAGTACATTGCTGCCAGATGGCATACAGCACACAGCACACCCACCGGTTAATTGGTACAGTGCATGATACATCTCCACTCTAGTACATCCGCGTTCTGCAAGCCCCTCGACATTCCAGACCTTCTGGTCTTCCCTCCCCGAGTCCGAATGGGATTTCTCACTGGCAACTCCAGCGATCTGATTTTTCCCCAATCGGTTCGATCCATCGCCTGAAATTAATCGATTGGTCGATGGAACCGGCTCAGCGCTTCCTTAACCCATCATCCCGGATAACACCCCCTCCTGCAGCTTGCCCGCGCTTCCCCCCGTCCACTCCCGTCCACTCAATCCACACCATCCACACTTCTTCATGCAAGGCATGCCCCTCCAGGCTTACGCGGTGGAGAACTGTGCCACCTCCAGATTGGAAGCAGCCCATGAGCGGTGGGAAAAAGGTACCGCTCCCCCAGAAACGAGGGATGAGGTGTAGCGCGTACCGAATACCTCTTCGCAAGCAGTGTCTACCACCGCCAGGACATGTACAGAGTACGGGGATACCTCCGTACCTCATCCCCCTTCCATCCTTCCCCCTCCATCTCTGCAGGGACTCGGCAGAAAAGCTGTTTGTTTCCCAAGGTTCCAAGCTCCTATTTACCCCTCTCTCCGAAGAAGCGGTGATTCACCGCTTCATCGAGTATTGGCCCTGGTGCTGCCATGCTACAGTGTAGTACTTGAAATAGGTACGTTTGAGAAAAGGCGGTAGGCAGGCTTTGCCAATCTATCCACAACAGACTGTGTGTTCTCTTGAGAACCGTGCGCTTCGACGTGATGCATCGCATCATTTTCGCCCTTTCGTTTGTTGGAGACGGACCTTCCCTCGTTGCCTGACAAAACAAAAAAAAGCTCGGGACTTTTGTTTACGTGTGCACACTGGCCAGAGCTTCTCGGACCGAGGGAAGTGGAAGAAGAAGACACATCCATAGAATGCAGATGGAACACCGGGGGGATGAGGGATCATGGGTCGCCGGGTCTGAATGGAGACTGACTCCTCATGAAGATTGTCGATGCATATCATATTCTATTAGCAGTAACTACTAGCTGCTTCACCAGCCACAACCACGACCCCATCCGGCCCACCCACGGCTTTGTCCGGAGGTACAGTACCAGCACGGAGTAGCTTACAGAGAACGGAGAACGGAGTACAGGGAGTGCGTACCCCACAGAAGCCTGTCTCTTTGGGAATACGCAGCATGGGATGGAGCACGCAGCAGCATACACATACCACCCACCCTTTGGGCGCGACCGGGGCACACGGGAAAGGTATGCGTGCGCGGTGCCGTGCGGACGGACCCCCAAGAATAAGGTATCAACTAGGTCTTCCATCCCTCGCAGCGGATTCTGTTCCGCCGGAGGTAGAGGGGTGGGGAGGGGGCGGTTCGAGATCCCCCAGCCCAGTCCCGGGTACCGGGGGACCCAGCCCGGCGGCTGGTGGGTGGAGTGGAGCGGTGGAGCAGTGGGGACGGACGGTGGTCATGAGCACTAAAAAGCACTACTACACCAAAAGTAATCGCGCGGAGACAGCTTCCGCAGGCGACGGGCGATCATCGAAATGTGGCGGCGGAATCATGATACACATCATATCTGCTTCTAGGAGCCTGTACCCGATTTTGACTCAGTGTAGCCCACGGGGTCCGTCCGAGCGCATGCCCGGCCACATGAGTGGAAGTGGATTCTCTCTCTGATTCCGGGATCGAGCTCCAACAAGTAGAATGAGGTATGCCCGTCACCTACCCCTCCCCCACATACGGTACACCGAAAGGCGGCCTCATTGTGTGCAAAAATCCCGCTCCCCTCCTGACGAAAGGAAGGAGTATCCGACATCCGGGGTTGACTGGCGCATGGATGTACATACCGGCACTACCGGTGACTTATGTGGCTTGCGTTTTCGTCCGTACTATTGCGTATAGAGCGCTGCGGAGCTTGCATTTGGGAAGTCATCAGTTGGAATATACTGAAGGGAAAGTACACTACACTACTATCTGAATTTCGCTCAGCATTGGGTTCGCACAGGTAGATAAACTTTCTGGATAAACTGCCGGAAAACAGGTTTTTGTACTGTGCTGTACAGAAAAGATGGAAGAACTATCGAAGTCTGTATGTGATTATGCAGGAAGTACATGTACATCCGGTAACTACAGTGCTATCCACATACTATGGATATACATAGTAGTGTACGAAAATAGAAAAAGGCTAAGCTCGCTTGATCGGCACCAGCCACAACGACAGCCACAGTTGCTAGTACTCCGTACTTCGTACAGTATAAGGTATGAGGTAGATATCCCGATGTGTCCATTGCCCCAACTCAATAGAATGATTTGCACTTGCATCTCGTGTCTGCTCCGCCATACAGCAGATACTCTGTCGTACTCTGTTACGCAGTCACTCGGCTACTCCGATTGTTTGTAGCGTAGCAGCCCCGGCTTCCATGTTGTGTGTGTCTTATTCAGGTATTGATAAAAGCTGGCGCGGGGGCGGCTGAACCCAAGACATCCCCTTATTATGTGTAACACAATCAACCCGTTGCCACATCGAGACCGGGCATCAACCCCAGACCCAAATGGGGAAGTAGGGGAAGAGCCGGGCCCCGCGGCGCGGTCGGGCGGGCGGGCAGCTGGACAATGTCGTTTCTTATTGAGCACAGCGCCTTCTCCATGCGGACGACAATCGGGGATGGCGGGTTGGACGGTGTAACTGTGACCGTCACGGTAGGGTCATAAGTCAACCTTGAAGTAACGGGGGGAGCGAAGTGATCGCAACGAGATCTCCTGTTTTGGTAACTCGTGCGGATGTTGGTGGTGCGGGTGTCAGCCGACGACGGGGTTTGACTCTGGCTGTCATCTATGAGTAATATGCTTGAGGAGGGGGGTTGAGTGAGTGAGGCTTAATGCTCCTATTCATTGAGACCGGTATATCCCAGTCGACTCGGTTGGACACACACACTGCTCGGCAGAGGATTACCAATCTTTACGGTACTAGGTAGGTGACTGACTACCCAGGCGGGCCAGCTTATATGACTACTAGGTACCGAATCACTGCTAAGGTATACATACTAGGTACGGTACTGGATGAGACAGCGAGTGAGCCTGTCGTCCAACACAACCACCCCGGACTGGGAGCCTCATCTGCAATCCCATCCCGCATGCAACATCAGAGCCTCACCTGCCCCCCTCTCCTCTCTCCTAGTCGTTTCTAAGTAAGATACACGCGTTGCTCACCTCATCCCGAACCTCCAACAATAACAACAGCAATAATATCCTCCGAATCGAATCTATCAGTAGTTAGTCAATGCCACCCCCACCCCCACCCCCATCGATTACTCGATTTTCACGAGCAGGAAGCGACCCCCTCTACTTAGGTAGGTAAGTCACCAACCCTCACCGAAACATCTCCGATACTAAGTTAACAGGTCCACTCCTCCACGAATCAACACCTCCGTATAAATCACCTGTGTCACTAAATGGAACCAACTCCCGGAGTCCACCTATCACTATAGTAGTCTGCAAGCTACTTTAGAACCGATCCAGCATTTCCGCAGTGGAGTAGCAGACTACCTAGGCTATTAACCGACGAACAAGCTCACCGAATGCACTCCGTAGCTCTAGGTAAGAGTATAAAGTGGGAGAGCTGCGCGCGATCTGATTGATGGAATGATTTCGTCCGTCGAAGGCGGGAAGTTATTCCGTGGGTTAGAGGCCGGAATAAGCATTGTTTCAGTGGAGATGGGACCGGATATGCTGTGCCTACTGCCTAGTTTACGGGAGTATAGTATCGGGTCCTATTGATTATGCAGTGTACCCAGTGTACTCTAGTAGGTAGTATGTCATGTGTTGGGGTTCGGTAGTTAGTGCCGGAAGTACCTAGTAAGTTACCGTCCTCATAGTTTCGAATGTGTGAGCGAGTGAGTGGCGGGGAGGTTGCTTGGGAGATTGAGGGGGTGGCAACTAGACCTAGGGAGTTTGCCTTCTGGTCTATTTGCGTGCATGAGTAGTAGGTGCTCGGTTAGATATGGGAAGGGAGTAAGTCAACTTGGAAACGGGGTAACGACTGTTGTCGGAGTGGTCCGAGGATAAAGGTGGATTGTTCAGGTGGTAGGGCTGGCCATTCCCCCTGCTAAATGCAACGAGGCAGTACAGTACTCGTGTACTTTGACGAATGAAGTATATTTCTTTATGTTCACTAAGAAATCTGCAGCGGGGAATACTTCCTCTTCCCTCAACTGATATATTATCCACAGTAAATAGCCACCGCAGCGCGATCGCGCGGCTCATCACTGCAACCTCATTTTACCACCAACCCCCAGAGTAAGCCTGTAATCCACCCACGAAATAATAATAGAATCGATGAAGATGACAGAAACAAAAACAACAACAACAACAGATTACCAAGCCACGAAAGCAAGCATTTTCCCCCGGCATACACGAGATGATGTACCACATATACGGAGAACCACCCATCTGCCTGCCTGTCTGCCCCAGCTTATGTGCAGTATGATTATAGCCGGACTGCCGTTATCGTATCGGGGCTACAGCCACGAAACTGTAGCCCTCGCGCTGGCGTGGGGGAGGAGGGCAGGGTTAGATGTCAAGACGTTGCTGACCACAACGTTCGAGAATGATTCCACGCAGTAACCGGACCGGGTTGCCGGGCTACTTGATCTAGGATTTATGGGCATATTGAGTAAGCAAGCCACTCGCATTTTATTAATCAAATATGCGGTAGGTGTGGGAGGGTGGACTGGGTAAGGGATCCTTTGGCCGGGATAAATGATTTATCGATCGGGTAGTCATTCATCGCAATTCCATCGCCGGGCTGCCTTCTTTTCGTCGGTTAGCACGGAAGAAACTGGAAATGAGGATGGAAATTCGGAGGGATGACTGAAGGATTGTGGAGGGGCAGCAGGAGGAGGAGGAGTTTCGGAGGAGGATGACTCAAGTACTCCTGCACTCACGTAGTTGACAAGCCAGGATGTCCGGTTATCAGAAGTATCATGGAGAACCACTGTCTCCGCTACTCGGGCGACCACGTGTAATTAGCATCTGACATATGTTAACTAACGTGTCGGGTTCGGAGTGCACGGTTCTGAACTTGGTTGGGATGTACATACTGTACCCTACCACTCCATTGTCCAAGCTTCTTTACCCGGGGTTCCGTAGAAGACCTAGTAGTGTATGTAGACACGCCGAATCTCAATCGCAATCATCCATCAACAACCCAACCCACCGGCAATATCACATCCAGCGACGAAACCCTTCGGAAACGAAATGGAGGAGCATCAACCACTCAAAAATTAGAAAAACGAGCCACCTTTCTGAATTCCTCATATCCCCGCCAATAAAACCGGAAGACAGCAGCACGCACGCCCCCAGGCGGTACCTCGGCATTTCCCTCGACGGACAATATCCGACGCTCTTGCTAATCCGGATAAACACACCACCACCGCTACTAAATTACCACTACGGAGACCAGACAGGCAATATCCCAAAGGACAGGGATAACCCATGGCTTCCAGAAGCTCTACGGCGATTCTCTCCGGTTGAATTTTCTTTTTTTCTGGGTGAAGTCCCCACCGAGGATGTCCGTTGTCCGTCGGGGATCAGGTTCTAGCTTCCCACTATCCATCATGATCGGGTAATTACCCACCCGTCCACCTTTTACCCACCCACCCACCCATTTATAGCATAAACATCAACGTTAAATTAGTCAAACTCAAGAGTACCGAGTATAAAGAAAACGAAGTTAAAGTAAAGTAACTCGGCACGACCGGTTACACCCCCGGAAACCCTCTCTCTCGTCCGTCCCAAAGGTCTTGGCTTCATGTGCGGCGTTTGACTTTCTTTGCCTAAACCCGGTGTGGCGTTCGCGAAAACTGGCGGTGAAAAAAAGTGATTAGGATGTTGATATCGGTGACGCGTGCGTGCGACTCCGTAGA